ATTCAAGTGAATTCAATGTGACGTCACTGATAAAATTGCAAAACTTCCTTGTGCAACAAAGACCTTTTAACACTGAACACGTACACGTAATGCATTGTTAAGAAACATTTTCATTTGTTTTGACAACTTAGCCACCCCACTTTGGTTATCGAATATCAGATATCAAGATAGATTTACTTATACTTGACACGTTTTTCGCTTTCCTCTTGTAATTGGTTTCGGAGATTTAACCTATTAATCTATTTAAATGCCGCCAAGTTTTATAAATGAAATTTCCAAAGTTTTAGAAATGAAATACATGTATATGGAGTTAACGAATAGTGAGTATTCAAGCTCAAAAGTCATTAAACAATACAAAATATGAGCAGAGAAAACAAGGACGTCCAAAAACATCAGAGGTGGGATCAGCTGCCATTAATGGCGGAGACAATCTAATTAAAAATAGATCTTTGATCCGCTCCTGTAAATTTCATATAGCGATCAAAGAAGCGCGGATCAGAGATCTAACTTTAATTAGAATGTGGCGGAGAGGGAGTTATCTGACTTAATCTTTTTCAGCTTCTATTGTTCTGTATTAATAAAATTAAGAAAGTCATATCCAGGTCAATAATTTGGTAAAAGTTAACTGGAAAAATTAAAAACCAAAGTATGTTTTTGACTTACAGGTGTCATGAATATATCTAAAGGCTGAAAGATGTTGTTATCAACGTCTCATATTGTAAATTTTGAATTAACCGGATGGCAGTAGAAATACAAAATTTACAAAATGGCAATGGTCTAGATGTTGCTTATAAAATAGAAAAAAAAACGGTAGTATCATTCAGTTATTGCAAAAATCGCATTATCTTTGATTATTAAGTTGTAAAACTTAGATTAAGCTATAAATAGATGATAAAAAAGTGTTTTACAGCATTTATTTTTATAGTAATATAGTTTTTTAGAATGAGTATCTTTAGAGGGAAGTTGTGTTAACATTGAATTTACCAGATATAATTTTAACTGACCTCGGTATTTCCATAATATTTTCGAAATTATTTTTGTTCTGCAACAGCAATACTTCATGAACCTCTGATAGTTTTTATAGTCTATCCACAGTCACTATATAATTATTATTATTATATGATTGAATAATTTCCATCTCTCTGATTAGCTGAGATCCAACTATGTTAGAAAAATACTACGTTGTATTGACCTGCACGTGACGTTTCACGTCAATACAAGGATTTATTTCCTCTACATTGATGAAAAATAGATCGGAAATTCCAAAATGATATATAAATTGTTTTGGAAAGCTATTCAAACGACTATGGCTTTTTTTTCATGTGAACAAGACATAAGCGAATATATATTTTCGGATGAGGGTGGTAAGAGGGGATGCAGGGACCCCCCTCCAACACTTTTACTGAACAACAATTTTTACTTTTTTGGCAGTCAGTTTTCCCTGATAATATACCCCTTCCTTTCAAAATCTATCCTATAAAAAAGACTGACATAATATTTTTTCATGGCAACTAAAATTGATAAAAAAAAACTTCAAATTGATACGACTGGTAAGGCTTATTTATATTTTAATTCTGCTTCTCTCTTGTATTTGGCTAGGATTTAATTAAATGCAAACAAGTAATGGGATTTATCATTTTATCAGTGAATAATATAATGAAACAATTATTGCTGTTTTTTCTGTCAATACAATGATTTAGCCATCTGAGAAGTACAATATTCACCTCGCCCGAAGTACAATATTCACCTCGCCCTTCGGGCTCGGTGAATACTGTACTCCTCAGATGGCTAAATCATTGTATTGACCTAAAAGAACAGTTATAATTGTATAACATTGGCGAGTTAGAATCCTGCACTGTATAATCAAAATCATAATGGACTGTTTGAATGGTTTAAGTGCATGGTTTGAAATGGATCAGAAAAAAAAAATCAATATTTCCTCGGTCACTGATCGTTCCATTCAATCGTTATGAATCATACATGTATCTATCACAGGTTAAAAAGGCCATACTTTTGAAAATAAAATATATAATTGCTCTCACGCACATGTTATTTTCGCAGAGATTTGAAACTCTCATCCAAAAGATTCAATCTTTGGGAGTTTAGGTCTGAAGTTTAATGGGGTTAACTGATATAAATTAACTACACTCGTTTTGTTTTTCTTTCAAGTCCTTGAGATAATTTTCTTGTATTCATTCATTAACTACAGTTAACATGCAAAGAATTTCGAGCACATATGTAGTTTAAATACACGCAGATGGGTACAGTGTACGTAATATCTAAAAATACACATATATAAGTAATAAGGTTTAGCCCAGTTTTGTTTGAACCAGCCTGGGGATTTTAATCTAAAGCACTCGATCAAGATAAACCCCTCTAAATTCAAAGGGTGTGCTTTAATCAATTATTTCTTGAAGAAATATTTCGAAATACAAATCTGCATATTTAAAATTTAAAAGAAAGCATTGCACAATTATCAAAAAAGAAAATGATATTTTAAGAATGCTCTATTCTTACGTGTTCTGCAGTTGCTTTTTTTTTAAATGAAAATTTTGAGTTATTGTTTTACAATGGTCAGTATGCAGAGTCGCAATTTTGTTAACTGTATTCATTTTTTAAAACATTTATTTAAATCTCGATAATTTATTCTAATTAAGCTAAACGACATGTACTAGACAGGTAAACGACATGCAGGAACTTGTATACATGTGAGCCCCGTCAGCTACATTCTTTATACCACGTGCACAAAAGACATTGCATGAAAATGCAATATCTCAAAGTAAAGACTTTTCAAAGTATTTATAATATCTCCTCATTTAATTATACTAAAAAATCATTCTCATAGAAAAAGGCTATCAAATTTTTATTCGCTGAGAGAGAGAGAGAGAGAGAGAGAGAGAGAGAGAGAGAGAGAGAGAGATTAACGCCTTTCTACATTAAACTAAAAGCCAAAGTATGTAAAGTCTGCAAAAAGCGATTTCCTTCCTGTAACTAAATATTAACTGTATAACTAACAACACTAAATGAAAAAGGTGTTTCTTGATAAAAGTCCTTGATAAATTTGAAGGGGTAGTACATGTAAATGTAATTGCTGAATTATTTAGAGATGTAAGGTGTAATTAGGCTTGATTTAAATTAAAATCCGGCGTTAGAAATATGAAACCTATATGCTGAATTTTTCATTTGAAACTTCATTATAAATAGGGGGTTTCTTTAAACGAGATAACATTTTTAAACAAAATCTTATAGTGTAGTTGCATTAATCGATACTGGCCATGGCTTATAATCTACACCTACGTAGACTATGGAATTTCGGAAAAACCATAAAGCTTTTTGGGAAGGTTGTGCAAATAAATCATTGAATGACAGCAAATGGCTTACATTGTTTGCATAGTTTAAACGTTGTTACAACTGCACTTAAAAAGTCTCTTTTATCCATCTTTTCAGGGAAGTTTCTTGCCTTGGATAATTGATTTTTCTTCGATAAGTTTTTTCAACTTTTGAATATTTTTGTTGCAAATTATTCTACATGCATCAAAGATGAAATTATAAATATTGTGTCACAGGAGTCTGAAGTTTAAATCATGCATCAAAGATGAAATTATAAATATTGTGTAAAGATATTCATTTTTTTCAAATACATGTACACTTAGTATTTTACACCACTGTATTTATTTTCATTACGTGCCAAGGAAAGTTTGTGGCAATTAACACACTTTAAAAAAAAATCACACACTTTGAAAAAAAAATCAAAGTAAGTTAAAATTGGGACAAAATCAATGCACTTTGAAAAATTTTTCAAAGTGCGTAATTTTTCAAAGTGCGTTATAAAAAAAGGATTCATTCATATATACATTTGTTTTCTGGCACCTTCTAAAATGTTTTAACATTTTAAAAAGCTTCTATGAATATGAATTGATATTTGACAATTCACAATGTATTTATTTTATAGCAATGAACGGAAGGGGATGTCAAAATTCAATTGCCAACAGCCTTCAACCTTTGCCCCAGGCTTCACCCACGTCAACACGTTACATCCTTGATGCAAGGCTGATACAGGACGCGCACAATATAAATCTTCTAGCAATTCGAAGGACTTATAAGCAGAATTTGTCACACCTTATTTGAAGTTTGTTATCAGTGTACATGCATGCATTATGTTTATAACATGCATAATTAACATTATCTTTTGGATACGAGATGGTGGCTCTAGAATCTTGCTTGTTGGATAAGAAGTTATTTATTATAAAAATACACATCTTTTCATTTGTAATTGCAAAATTGCTACAAACAAATGATTGAATGTATATATTTTTGTTTGGTATTATTAGCTTATTTTATTTATAAATGATGCAAAATCAAATTCTGAAAGTTTTGACTTTAAAATAAAATTGAATACATTTTGTCTTTAGATTAATTTTCATGCTTAAAAAATATAATTGAAATCCTAGCAAAAGTCCTTCATTGAATTTACATGCCCGAATGCTTGCTTCGCCAAGAATTATTAATATCTGAAGAAGAATGGATTTTGGATTTACAAACACTTATATACTGTGCTATTTCTAGCTTTAGCCTTGGGAACCATAATCCAATTCAGAACCCAATACAAAGGAGACGTTGTGTAGCTAATTATCCATTGTCACTATGTATCCGTATTTGTTGCACTGTCGTTGCCGACAAATTAACCTTTTAAACTCCTCTATTCTCCATTCAGACTGTAGAATATCTGGTTATTGTGAGCCAAGAAAGTCAGTACTGTGCTGACCCGTGAATCTATTTAAACATTCCAATTAGCCATTATCAAAGAAATCATGCGCTCGGCTTATCCTCTCCATTGCATTAATCCCATTGATTTTAAATATTTCAAATCCACGTTACTTAGTATTCGACATGATTTAGATCTCAAACCTGAACATTATGGTTTACTGGCAGATACAGGTCAGTAAATCCCTTTTGTTTAGAATGTAGATCACCAAGACACAAATACACAAAAGAAACAATAAAATTTTGTATTTTATCAGAATTCATCCAAGTATGTTCATCATAACCATACAAAAATACAATATATATACAGGCAACTTAGAGAAATTCATAAAAATAATAAAAAGATGATGTAGTTTGAGCGTTCGGTGACAGATGGAAATAAAAAATCAAGGCGTCCTTTAAAACAGACAAAAATACCATTTGAACAGAGAAAAATATTTTCTAATATAGATTATTTTTTTAAAAAACTTGTTCATATGTCAAGCATGGAGTTTCGGATCCAGTATAAGGCACGCATGCCTAATGGAATCATCACTTAGAAAGTTTGACAAGCGTCACCGTTCAACTCTAAACACCGAAGAATTCCTATTCCCTAGCCATAGACTGCGCCTGTGCTTGGGGTTGGATTTCCTGAAGAAAAAAAATCAGCAAATTATGTATTGATTTCAATCTAAAAAGGTTTTAAATTATTCACATACATACAAAATTAATTGCGAGTAAGATTGTCCTCATATTTATTTCAGTTATTTGTTTATTCACCATTGAGATTTTTAAAAATAGCTTTAAATAAAGGCATACATATTAGCCAAAAGATATTTGCATGGGAGTCTTAATCAAAGATTCCACAATACGACCTATCATTTGTCTAATCGATTAGATGGGAATAAATACAACTAAATCTAATATCACAGAAAAAAGCAAGACGACACCTTAATCAATGTGCTTCATTATTTCAAATCAATAATTTAACGAATAATGTTCTAAAGACCCCGTTGCGTTACAAGTTTGGACCAATTTCGTGTTTGCATAGATCTGTCGGCTGATTTGCAAGTCAAACTAAGTGATTTAGAATTTTAATAATTCCAATAATTTTCGATTTGAACATGTCCGTTAATCTAACTAATGAAGTTGATACTTAACCAACCCAAGTTTTACTCGAGATACTGCAAGAATAAACGCAATACGATTTGCTCTACTATCAATTGTTTTATCTGTCGCACATCATATTTAAAAACAGGTTTAAGGGTCAGAAAGGCGATTCTCTGAATAACGAGCACATTATTTACAGTACCCCAGGGTGCTTCATTTCATTGAAGAATGAAGGCCTTAATGGGTCAAATCCATTCAATGGAATTTTTTTTTACAGTTGAGGGGACAAGTTACTATGGATACGCAACGCCCACCTGAATTCATTACGATTCTATACGACTGTTTCGCTTCATTCCGCCGTGCACGAACTCATTCGTAAAATTTGCCTGCAAGGCTAAAATCCAGTCTAATAAATAATGAATTTAGATTAAAAGGTTCAAAAAGCATTATTAGAGCAAAGAGACAAGTGTGAATAAAACAAGAAAATTGGTCGATAATTTGAAAAATAATGATTCCTGACGTTTCTTTCTCATTTTTATGATCTCTGATCCAAATATTTTTTTAATTTGGCTTCGCCAAGCATTACAAATGACTCGACACAGTTAAATATCATACAGACACTATATCACACTAGCTGACGGTGAAATGGAGGAAGAGTATTGTTCTAATATCGATTTCTGAATCATTTATATTTTTTTTTTCTTTCAGTAATATAGATTTTTTTCTGACACTGTCTGATGAAAGCTTTTGTTCCTGAAGCCTAAACCTATTTTTCTATTAATAATGCTTTTCATGCACCAATTCATTTGGAAATACCACTTTGGTTTGTTTTTTTTCTTTTCAGTAGTCTTCTCCCAGAATTTTTAAACAAAGCAGCACTTGAGTCTTATTTCATTTCATGTAATGTTTGTGATCTATTTTGACTACCGCCATGGTGAGATTGCGCCATGTTTACACGTCGCTACAACAAATCTCTTTATATCGGACCAAACACGTCAGTAAATTCCAAGCGGTTGGTCAAAGACTATTGCATAGAAATCAATCGATCATCATTGCGTTTAGTTCTCCGAACAAATAATAAAGTGTACCACATATACACAACAATATAACATTGCGCCATCTAGATAAACACCTGAATTTTATAAGCTTGCTTTCGCGTGTGTTTAAATTGTACATAAGTGCCATGCTTCCCTAAATATTAGCCTAATCTGTCTTTTTACCCCTGAATGGATTTGGTCCGATTGACCTATAAAAATGGCACTTGACCTTGTAAATCACACCCCTATTTTTTCCCTGTCAAAGCAAATTGCACAAAGAAATAGGGAAGCAAGAATTAAACATAAGAAAAGACCATTATTAAAGAAATGCAAAAAAAAAAGATAAAAAAAATGCAGGGTCCCCCTTTCTTGTCGAACAAAAATGTACTATTTTGAAAACAAGTTGAATAACAATGTGTGTGCAGAGTTTATTAATAGGAGAAACAAGGTATCATATTTTATTTTTGAGGCTTTTGTGGCTACTGGGGCTTGACTGGTTTTTTGACCTCTTCCTTCAAAACTGCCAGCTTATTGACACAGAGAAGGAAGAAAACAACAAAAGCCTTTACTCAAATAACTAAATAAAACTTAAAACGATACCTTCAAAATATGTGTTTGTGGTTTACGTAGACGTTCTGATGAAAATTTTACATTTCTCCATTTCATTTTCAAAATATTACATATAATCTCTTAATTTCCGGCTAAACATGAAATTCATGCACAGTACACGTTTTTTTTTTTCGTAAATCTAATTATATCATTTTAAGGAACTATTTCTACCTAATTATTTTTGTATTCTGTCAATTAATTTCCTTCATTCTGAATAACATATTGAGTTTAACTGAATATAGATATTTTATGTCTCTTCTGAGCTAGGGTAAACAGGAAAATTATAACCCATACATTATTACCCCCTAGTAATACAATGACGGTAGTTTTTTTTTTTTTTTTTTTAATCAGAAAATATTATCTAAATATATATTCTTGTCTAATTCTACCACAACGTTTACAAAATTGCATGAGCTTTTAAGTACATTTTCCCTACTAAAACTGAAGATACTTATAAATCCAATAAGTGTCAATTTTTCATTATCATGATATTTATGTTGCACTTAGATGAATTTAGTACATGTATACGTATCTAAGTTTTTCGCTATGTGGAGGCCTGATATCACAGTATGGCCATGAGCGCATTTATCCGAATTTCGAAATATGGACACAGTTTATCAAAATCAAATAAAGGACAGTCTTATGAGCAAACGTACACAAATAAATCGTATTTAAAGTTAAAAGGTTGAAGGTTACAAATTGTTTATTTCAATCGATTTGACTTGCTTTGATTGTACATTCTTCACGCAAAAATTTGATTGATCTTGAAATAATTAGATCCGCCTTTTTTTTTAACTTACCTGAGCATCTTGTACTAAAGCACAAAGTGGACAGAACAGATGGACCAGGCAATCACCACCGAAGGACCCCTGTAAAGAAAGGAAAAAACATTGTAAAACACTGAAAAACACTATTGTAATGGATAACAAAACCAGGCAATCACCATCGAAGGATCCCTGTAAAAGAAATGTAAAACACTGAGACACACTATTGTAATAAAAAACATAGCAACGAAGGACCCCTGTAAGTAAAGGGAAAAAATGTAAAACACTATTGTTATAGATAACATAAAACCAGACAATCACTACCGAAGGATCCCTGTAAGTGGTGGGAAAACATTGTAAACACTGAAAACACTATTGTAATAGATACCAAAAAAAAAAACAAACAGGCAATCATCACCGAAAAACCCCTGTAAATAAATACCGGTAATAATTGTAAAACACTATTGTAATAAATTTAAACTAAATCACTAAAGGATCCCTGTAAGTACATGTAGTGGGTCAACTTGTAAAACACTAATCTATACTGTAATAATGTAATGGAACAATTAAACCAGAAAATTACTACCGACGGATTCTTGTAAAAATATTAAACACAGTTGGAACAAAACAACCCAATGATCCCTATATAACGCAAAAATGAACATTATAAAACACTAATGTAATTGCACAAACGACTGTAAAACACTCGTGCAATAGAACAGATCTAAATGCGCCTTACGGTCAACATTAAGGGATTCTTGCAAAACATAACCATGGTCAAATTTTACCGCGATTCACTCAACCAAAATAAAAACAAAACTTGAAAAGAAAATAAAGCCCTGTACGTCTCTTTTCTTTAGATTGAGTACCAACTGTATGAAATAGGGATACATTTAAACATGGCAGTATATGCAGCACCAAAGTGTTATCAAAACATCCCTGTATAAAACAGATGCATTGTTAAACATTATAGGAAATGCAAAGTCAGGACTTCAACTCCTCGCCTATACCAAAACAGTTAAAAGACATGGAACAAGATTTTTGAAAGGAAAAATGTTATCTGCCGCTTTATACAGGAAAGTAGAAACATTTGACATTTTACACAGTGACTGATAACATCAGGGAGCCGAAACAGAACGACACATTTGCATTATTTGTAACATTAGATTTGCGTTTCAGATAGGAATGCCATTGAAAAAAGAACAGTCCAATGGTTGCCGAGAATGCTCACCAATAACATTGAATAAACCAAAATTATACACTTTCCTCCTCAATGACCTTGACCTTATTAACTTGACCCTATTGCAAAGTAAGAATTATTTGGTCCTGTGCTACTTACATTGTAAGTTGTAGGTACATGCAAAATGTCTTTTATACAATAATACTGACTTTATTTAAATCCAAATGATTAAATAACCTTAATTTGCCAGTCAATCATCATTACAGACAAGATTTTTAAAACCTTTAATTTGTCCATTGGTTCTTTAACGAAATGGGGCAATTAGAAAGTTAAAAAAGTGAAATAGTTAAAAGATGCGTTTTAAAATAGTTGTTAAACTTTGATTAAAGATAATGGGAAAGACTTGAATAGAGGCGATAGATCGGAAACACTTATACTTCAGTGTGGAACGTCAGAAATAAACAACTTAAAGCGTCAATTTTTACCCCTTGTCTCACTTGACAAAAGTTTTAAAGCCTTAACGGATAGCGGGCAACACAGTGTATCGGGGACCTGCAGGGGGTCAATTATTAAATGGATGTTTTTTACACCAAAAACTGTAAACTTTTGCTCATTCACACGAATACTTGAAGTTTTATTATCTTTTTATCAGTCCATTTTGTTTTATAGGGGTGTATTTATAAATTTGTATATCCCATCCTACCCTACCTGCTCCTCTGAAAGCCCTTGCTACTTACTCAAGGACAAAGTACATTGTATCTTTAATTGGACAGTAGTACATGGTCATTGTATACAAATCTTTTCCTTTTACCCTCCAGTATTGACCATGCATAATAATGTTTACTAAATGTCACACCTTTGTAGGTCTGTTGACCTCAATTTAGTTTAAACCCAGAACACGAACAATGTTGACATAGAAGGGCTTATTTATACAAATCCCTTGGTCAGACAAATGAATATTAGCAACAGTACTTAAAGGGGGAAAAAAGGACTCTGAATGGTCGAAAGAGGATTATCAGCGAAGTTACGTGTTGAATCCGGATTATAAGAATCCGGTATTAGCGTACACATAGACACGTACTGAGTCTAAGCGGACTGTCTTTCATTTACAAGTTAAACTTTGCATAATTTATAAGTTTATTTGACGTATTAGCAATAACGTGTGGCTAAAGTACTTCCTTGATCTGCCCTTAACTTTTCCAACAAAGATGCCGGATACCATTCCTCTTGACAGGTCCGCTGTCTTCACTTTGACAATAAGGCCCCTTTAGATCGTTTATATCAAAAACAAGTGATTCACTAAGCAGCTAGGGATGGGCACTTAGTTTAAATGAAATTTATCTTATCCACTTGTATTCTATATACAAACAATTCATTTACGAGGAATGCATGTTTTTCCCAAATTTAAGAGGGGAAAGTATACGAATATGTCATTTTTAATACCATTTGAATATTTTTACCCTTCTTGTACCCCCATGAATTTGACCCAAAAGCAAGTGAAGAATCTTAATCCTTTTTCTCCCAATTTCGAAAGGTCAAATGATTTACTCAAATTTGCGGCATTTTTTCCAGAAAACATTTTTTTACATAAACCGTTTTATTGATTTTTATTTTACACTCTGAATATCATTCATGAATTTATCCACAAAGCAATATAAAAGCACATGTCAATGTTTATTTTGTTTATCACCTGTATCACAAGATGTGCAAATTAATGAAAGCAATTATATTATTAATCAAACATATCGATTTGAAACAGCTGAACCCCAAAAATAAATTATGAAAAACTTACATCAATGCCTTTTTGCTCTCGGATTTTTTCGCGAGCCTTTGCAACGAAATAGATACCAACTATAGGGAAAATAGCGTACAACGCCCCAACCATCACACACGAATCCCCGACCGCCTCCGCATTTTTTCCAGCAGTGTAACAGGGAACGAAGTAGGTAATAAGACACAATGTGCAGTTGTTAAAACAACCAAACAGGCCATTAGAGAATTCCCCCATCCTTTCGTTCGCTAGTTATATCTGGTGTGTGAAGAATTTGACTGACAACGCCCCTCTCTCTCCTTCGTATACCCGCTAGTCCCAGTGACACTTACACCGATAACCCGATAACAACGGACCTGAATTTTAGCGCGGATGGATATTACTACTCGGGCAGTGATTGGTTGGAAGGTAGGAGTAAACAAACTGCATATTCTAAATGAAAAAAAAACCCTGTTTGACCGCAACTATACTATTGGCGCCTATACGTTTCAAATTGTGATTCAATGGATTATATTCAGAAAAGAAAGATTAACATGAGAAATACTTCAAAGAAACTCGCAAACAAGACAAAGGCGGAGACAAGTGTGTGTATGATTGATTTTATAATCAGGGAGAAGGATAGAAAAACGCTATAACACACTTGCAATATAAGGACCCGCTATTTCCTGGAATGTATGAAAAATTGTCGCAATAACTTGACAAAAACCTTTATGAACACAATTTTAAGCCTTCATAATTATTTTCTTAAATATGGTTTATATCAAAGAGATAAAAATGATACGAGGCATACTGGTTTTACTCACTATATTCAACAAGCTACGTTGTTTTCTATATACAGGAAGTAATTTCTGTTCTGTTTAAAGCTTATAATCTTTACGGCTTTTGATAATTCACAGACTGTAATCGTTTGTATAACCCAAAACCTTTTATATTCCTTATCTTCCTCTAATAAACTAATACATTTATAAATGCTTACATATACCCCCTGTTGCATAATGACCCTTCAAGAGAAAGTGACACTGACAAATTTAGTTAAAGGGCAGAAAAATACCCTAGATCCGCTCCTTTCTCCAAATATAGTTTTATGTGTTAGTTTTCAATGCAAGAGCAATAAAGTTTCGCTCTTTTCTTTACTTACTTCGATTCCCTTCTGTTCTCTTATCTTTTCGCGGGTTTTAGCAGCAAAGTAAATTCCAGCGGGAGCAAGGATTGCATAAAGGGCACCCACCATCATACAACTATCCCCCACGGCCTCGGCATTCTTACCCGCCGTGTAACAGGGGGCCACATACGTGATGAGACAGAGGGTGATATTATTGAAGCACCCACACAGACCGTTAGAGAATTCCCCCATTGTTTTAGGTTTATATCACAGATAAGAAAAGAGTCCAAATCACTGACTTCCGTGCACCCGAATGGTTTGTACGTTCTACTTGATTTACCGGCTTTTATATAGTGCACTGGCCTTAGTTACTCATCACGTGACCTTAACTGCATTTCACGTGCATGTATATCTTTTATTATTATAATTAGAAAAAATCTTAAGTTGTACATGTTATAATGAAGATGGTTTTAACAGTATTTTAAGTTATAAAAGCAAACATAGCAGAAAATTTCTTGATTTCGATTTATTGTTTATTCCATTATTTTTAATTCTGAACATTTCGATTTTTTCTTTCACACTTAGTTAATTTCAATAATTCGATAGAGCATCTACTTTTTGCTGAATACATTATGTAATTGCAAAAACTATGCAAAGGCTATAATCGATGGCGACCAAAAAGTTGAATAAAATGAAATAAAAATCATGTAAATTAGAGCAGAAAAGTCACACAATTAAGCGGATTAATGATTGATACATAATAAGGATGTTTCATATTAAAGTCCGCCTACAAAATGATTTCCGGGACAAAGATCCTGAATGGTTTGTCTACAATAACACTGCTTTCATTTACGTGTTACATATCAATGATGATAATCAACTAATATGCAACTGAAATTCGTTGAAGCAAATCTGTAAATGTTATACGGTTACCTTATTCTGTTATCATTCATTAAATAACAATTAAATTACAAAGAAAATTATAAACCACGAACAGGGACCTATATACGATGAAAATATTAAAATGCATTCATAAAGCGGAGATAAAAAGAAAAGGCATGACAGAAGTATATGTACATGTATATATACTAGTACGTGAGTATGTGAACTTTTTACAGAGTTTAATTCCCTATACGTACATATTGTACACATGTGTATGTCATTATATACGGAAATGTCTTAATCCTAATGACTCAAATAACCCTTGGGGGAAAATACGCATTTCATTACATTTGTAAAAAAAAAAAAAAAAAAAAAAAAAAAAAAAAAAAGAGGAAGAGAAGAAAAGATTTGCGTATTTGGCGTGTGATTTGCAGGAATTCTGTGTACGAAACATTTAGAGTTGTTTAAATGTCCACGTCCGCTTATCTTACTTCTTACGATAACTTAGTAACACTTCATCAATCAATGATCACCTACAAGATGATAAGAAATAGTTAATGCAATTACAGGTATCTATATTTATTTAAAATTTTGGTAGGATGGAAGAATTGCTTTCACTCTCTGTGCAACAGTACTGAACAAAAATTTATCCATTTTATGAAGAGTAGATAAGATTAAACTGACAAAAGACTGCATAAAAAATATCTCCATGTAAGACACCCCCCCCCCCCGCACAACTTCCTTATTGTTATGGACTGCATGGTAACGCATATATATTATATACGGCTGAGCTATCATTTATGGTTCCTGGGTATTCTCTCCCTTTTTAAACACAAATATTTGCTCGTTTTTTCGAATAAAAATACAAACAAATAATAACGTGTTCATGTCATGAAGAGAAGACACAGAGATCGGAAATTTTTAGGAAAACGTACTTCAAAATTGTAACATTTTGTACCTAAAATTATAACTTGTCTAGCTCACTCAAAGTTATTCTTATTAAAGAAAAAAATGTCAGGAAGATACCACTTCCCTTTTCTTTTCCACAAAACCCAATATACATGTATCAAGAGCATTGTAAAATTTTATGTGACGGATTAAGAAAATTTGAACTTTTCAAGTGAGCCCGGATTCCTGCTGAATGTCAATCATATGCGCCCTCGTTCTTTGTGTGTAAACATACAGTCAAACCTGTTTTAAGAGGCCACCTTTGGGAAGTCTGGAAACTGGTCAGTCACTTCAGACAGGTAGCCTCTTATTCCAATTTACCCTCGAAATAGCCAGTCGGTCAATAAATAAACAACATTAAGCACTACGATTATATCAATTAATCAGATATTCTTCAGTGTGCTTTTATTACATTGAAATATTAAATTAACTCTTTTAATTAACATTTGAAGAAATACATGTGCCTTACTATTATCTTTTTTTATTAAGAAAATTACACAAACATACTAACTAAAAGAAAATTTAATGATAGATAAAGTAAAACATAGAAATTTATGTATTATAGAAACACAGATAATTTAAGATCAAATTGTTTTATATTAAAAACTAATCTTATCTAGATTGTGCACCGTTAAAAATTGTTTATAACGATGTAGCGATATATTGGACCAGTTTCCTTCTTTCACAATATATATGATTTATAAGCTCCTAATTGCTAGCCTGACAGTATTTCAAAACCTAGTGAAATCTGACCTGACCTTAAGATGTTAAATATGATGGTCATATTCTTCTATCAACCTTTTTTTTAATTATCTTTCAAGTACTTTTTATTGAGAAATGTCCTAAAACAAACAAAAGAATAGTTCAAACTAGAAATAAGAATAATGTTTTCACTACTCCCTTTCAAGTTCTTGACATAAAACAACGACTCTTGCCACAATATCATAAGAGAAAACATACTACCCCCTACCCCACCATCATCCACCCACCCCAAAATGTTCTTCCCGATCCCTGAATCAGGAAAACGGGTGGATCCGCGCCACTACTTACTTCGATTCCCTTCTGATCTCTGATCTTTCCACGAGCCTTAGCGGCAAAGTAAGCTCCAACGGCGGGGAAGATGGCGTAAATGAGAGCCACCATTATACAACTGTCCCCCACGGCCTCGGCATTCTTACCCGCCGTATAACAGGGGGCCACGTACGTGATGAGGCAGAGGGTACAGTTGTTGAAGCACCCACACAGACCGTTAGAGAATTCCCCCATTTCTGTTTTTTTTTTAAATATATCACAGATAAGAAAGTGTCCCAAACAAAAACTAACTCCTATGACCTGATCAACGTGGGATGTTGGTTTTTATATTCCAAAGCCCCTAGTTACAAGTGTCACGTGACTCAGGGTACACAGCCCCTCCCTGTATATAAGAATTAGAAATTAAATTTCATACCAAATAACTTTCTTTTATAGAAAGACGAATCTATTCAAGAATTTCACCCCAAGAGTATGTAATTGCTTTTTGAGAGCACATATTACAAAGTATATATCATGAATATATGTTTAAACAGTTCCACTTCAAAACTTTTAGGCATTTGTTTGCTTTATGAAATTCTTTAATGCAAGTCCCCCCAGAGTTCATTAAGGTCACGTCACCATTTGTCAATCGACAAATTTATACATGTACGTCAATGTCTCCATTATATCCCAATTTGATTCCCCTGTGTTTAAACACCTTTTCTCTTTAAATCAATATTTTTCGGTGTTCGATAATAAGGATTTCAAAATATTATCTCCACAATTGAACTTTCTCAAAGAAATTTGTAGATAAAGGTAATAATCCTTTATAAAAACCTAATACTAGTAAGTAAAAAGACCTCTCGGTAAATTTCTCAAGATGTTTCAACTCGCATTTAACAGATTAAATAGGGGTAATTAAATTGACTTTTAAAAAAAAAAACCCAGAACCAGAACTCGTACTGCTTTTGGAATGAATTTTCAACCCCCCCCCCCCCCCCCCCCAAAAAAATGACAGCGATTTGTTTTCTATTACGATTTTTTTTTTCAAAATCTCGAGCGTTACAACGAGAAGGAATAAAACCCTACAAAACCTTTATTTTTCATACGATTTTCACTTTTTTTCTTCATGTTCTTTGCTTCATCGATTAGATCAGCGTCTATTTTAACCAAAACTCCGGCTGCACTGTTGCCCAAGGTCTGCAGGCATGACGGATAAAAGTCTTCCCCCGGGTGATTAAATCTCCATTTATTGATTTTTAAAAACAAGTTCTTTTATTAATAGCCGAAATTGTGTCTTAACAAATTCACTCACAGAGGTTAATAAAATAAATTTGGAATTTAAAAAAACCGGTCCTATATTGGTCGTTTCGACGTGAAGGGAAGGTTTGCGATGGGACCTATCTTAACATTTCGTTCGCGTCC